TTTGAAAATTTTTTTGTGCAACGCCTGTAGAAACCAGCATGTCCTAGAGAAGTTCTTACCCCTATAACCATAGTAGGAGGTGGTAATTTCTCAATAACTTGAGTTTTTACAGGATCTAATTCCATGTCATTTTCAGAAATTTTATGCCCAAGTACAATTCCTCCTGCAACCATAAATTGACAATTTTCCCAATTTAGTACTAGGTTGATTTTTTCACATAATTCCAGAATTTTTTCTAAATTATTTAAAAATAATTCAAATGAAGTCCCAAATACAGAGAAATCATCCATAAATACTTCCATTCCATGTTCAATCAAATTACTAAAAATTGTCATCATACATCTTTGAAAGGTCGTAAATGCATTGTATAATCCAAAAGATATTCTATGAAAAGCAAATGTTCCATAAGGGCTTGTAAATATTGTTTTCTCTTGATCCTCAGGAGCAATTAAAATTTGATGATATATGGTATATCCATCTAAAAAGCAGTAATATTTGTTTCCAGCCAAGCTATCCAACATTTGATCTAGAAAGGGTAAAGGAAAGTGATCTTTCCTGGTGGCCATGTTTAATTTTCTATAGTCTGTACAAATTAGCCAATTGGTAACTTGTATTATTGGAATTAATTCATTTAGTCAATTGGTAACTTGTATTATTGGAATTAATTCATTTAAAGTAAGGATTAAAAGATCTTGAAAGAAAAAAAGAAAAAGAAAAAGAAAAGAAAAAATAATAAAAAGGTATGAAAAAGGGAGGAGAAGCATGAGGAATAAGACATAATTAAAAATTTCATTTCACTTGAATTTTTCTAAGGAAGAAAACTTAAGATCAAACCTTTGCTTAATTTTTGAAAGTATTAATAAAAATTATCTTCATTATAGATTTCATAAAATTTGAAATTAATATTTTTCTAAAAATCTAATGTTTGGGGAGATTTCAATTAAGTCTGAATTAAATAGAAAATTAGTGTTCCTAAATTTAATACTAAATGTTATGATACCTTAGATATCATCTACTTTACTAAAAATTCTTCTAATTTAGACAACAATGTTTCTAAAATAAAATTTTAGCCATCTAAAAAAAGAAAACCCACTACCACAGGTTAACAATTTTGGTTTTTAAAGCTATAATGTTACTTGAGGACAAGTAATGTTTAAGTTTGGAGGGAATTGATCCACTTTAAAATTACCTATTTTTATGCACATTTTACACCCATTTTTAAGGATATTATGCTTTAATGATAGATATTTTGTATGTTTTTGGTTACAGATGCAAAAAAAAGAGTTTAAGAGCTAAAATGAGCAAAAAATATATAAAAAAGGAGCAAAATGGGCCAAAGCAAGGAAAATTGTTAAAATCAGCCGAACTAGCGCCTAGGCCCCGTGCTAGATGAAGATTGTGCCTGGTGCCTTTGCGCGAGAGTTTTGTCCCCTAGGCGCCAGAGTCAGTTTCTAGAAGATGCGTTGAATGAAGATGAATTTTGAAGAGATGTTTGAAGGAACCCTTGGTGATTTTCGAAGCTTTATATATAGGGATTAATTTTAAATGTCAAGGGGAGTTTTAGAGTCATTTTGAGAAAAGGAGGCACCCCTATATAGTAGCCGACCTCCTTAGTGAGTTTGTGTGAGTCTTTGTGATTTCTAGAGTATTGTGAGTCTTGTAAGAGTCTTGTGAAGTCACAGAAGTCAGAGAATTTCAAAGGAGTACTTGTGGAAACATTTCAGATAAGTATTTGTATCTTTTTCTTTAAGTACTGTACTTTAGATTTGAGTTTTATAAATTTGTTTTATTTTGTTATCGTTATGTGTTCTAAGTAGTTTTCTTCTTTCTCCTAGCAATATGAAGAAATCAAGTGGTGGTTTTAATTTGTTTCAAATTTCATTTAATTTCATAATTTTGTGATGGTATTTTCACTGATTCTTCATTTACTTTGCAAATTTGCCACTTGTATTGTTAAAATTTGTTGAGAAACTTATAGATCTGAGAGAGCTAAGATTTCTATAACTAATGAGTATCACATTTCACTTGGAAAGAGCCATTTTGATCATCCAAAGGGGAGTGCAAATAGTAGAAAGATAAGATTTGATGGTCATAGAATTGATGTTTCTAGGGTGACATGCTGGATTTTCTTATCAATTTAGTCTAGATTTTGGAACTAAAGGTCACTAGCAGGTCCTATAGAGAGGGCACGTTGGGTAATCTAGGAGTGAGTGACTAGAACCTACCCAACATTGCTATACATATCAACACCATCTTTAGATTAGCTAATGTTCTTTGTACACTGAAAGAAGTAAAGAATATGTATGCTCCTATTTATTACATACATTACTTAAACTTCTAAATATTTTCATTCCTACACTGATTATGGATTATTTACAAGGAGAAAGTTTCTTTAAATATTTTGAATTTTCTAATTCTAGTTATTTTTAAATCTATGCATTTAATTTTAAGTTGAACTTGTAGTAATTAGTAAATTGTATTTCATACTTGAATTACTTTCATATTTTCCTAGATTATATTCTACTGTTTAAAGTAAATGTTTATCTTAGTCAAATACATAAAGTTACCACTTTCCCTGTGAGATCGATACTGAGGTTTTTAAATAAAACTCTACATTACTTGAAACGATACGTATACTTGCGTAGTACCCAGAGTGTGCAAATTATTTTCTAAATTTTATAACATATCAATTTTTCACACTAGCTACTAAATTTAAATTGGGTCAAGTTTTTGGCCATTTTTTGGAAGTTAAATTTCTGCGTAATTGCGGGTCAAATCAATGCCCCTTCACTAGTAGGGTAATGCCTTCTAAGGTAAGAAAATGCGGACACCTGACGTCCTTGGCTCCACGACTGTCCTCTAAAATGATGGGTGGAGGGGATGCTCTGTTGCTGCATTTGGTGACCATGCAACAAGTTTCATAAGTGCTTTAGTGGTGGGATTCCTTGTTTCCCATAGACAGTGCCAAATTGCTGCGTAAAAGAATTTGTAGTGGTAGAGTTGTTAATTAATGTCTTAGCTTTGCATGAGAACTCAGATAATAGAAAATAACAAACATAAATACCAAAAGTTTTTTATGTGGAAAACTAAGTAAGGGAAAAAAAATACTAACATGACCTAGTTGAAGAGATCCATTATAAGCTGACGATTACTTGCACTCACTTAGCCTCATGTGTGAATGGATTACATAACCTCTCAAGCAACAAATTTAGTGTGTGGAAGGACTTGTAGCTCCTTGATAAAAAGTGTTTCAAGGAGGAGCAATTATCGAGGCTTAAATTCATTGTCTTCAGTGTGGGAACGATGTCCGAGATGATGATGTAGCTTCGTACTGTGCTTCATCCCAAGGAGTAGGCGACAACTTATGATGGTTGAAGGTGGTTAGTGGTGGTGGTTTGTGGAGGCACCAAAGGCGATGACGACCAGAGTTTACCCGAGGCGGCAACTCTCAGTTTTGGCCGGAGGGTGGTGACTGTCAGAGTTGGATGGAGGGTGACAATGGCCGGAGTTGACCGGAAGTGATGGTACCTGAAAGCGATGGCGGCTGTAAGAGACGATGATTGGAAGTGATGTTGAACTTTAGATCCTTCTCCAAGTTTGATCTTTTTCAGGCTTCAAGCTTCAACCCCCTCTCGTTAGTGGGGTTAGGCTTTATTTATAAAGTCCCGACTGTATTTAAGGAAGTAATCCAAACCACGCTGTTCAGACGACCCAAAAAGATTCCCTCTATCAGATGACATTTAATAGACATTTGAGTATTTTAACGATGTAAAAAATTGAGTGATCTTAGGCTCGTTAGACTCATCCTATTTAGATGCTTAATTCAACAATGAGCTCGCTAGATTCAAAATTCATTTAACTTTCCAAAACTGTTGAAAAACTTTCAAAATAGGTTTAATGACTTGATTTGTGTGTTTGATTTGACTTGGATTGTATCGATTTTGGTACCACTAGGTCTGTCTCATCAAGTCAGACACTTTAACTATAAATTTGTTGAAATAAAAATTATAGATGATTTTTAATTAAAGTTTTGATTTTTCTTGCTAGAAAATTATCTCAAGATTTATGTCGGATAATGAAAATTTGTTGAAGACCTATGTTCGTGTGTGTGTGTGTGTGTGTATAAAAGTTGAAGTTAAGGTGTTAGACATGTAAATTCACAGGGATTGTGTGTTGTATATAAGACTTCTTTAAAAACTGAATATAATTTTGAGAATATAAACGAAAAATAATCCTCCCTCCTAGTTGATAATCTTTCAACTAGTGGTGTAAGTGAGCTAAGCTGCCTTGCGAGCTTGTTTAGCCTTAGCTCGATAAGTGGTTCGTGTGTTGAGCTTAATGAGCTAACAAACTAAGCTCAAGCTAGGCCCCAATCGACTTGTTTGTTTATGAGCCGACTCATTTAAGAAAATATTAATACAAAAAAACTCAAAAAAATATTAAATTTCAAAACTTTACTTTTAAATTTATGAAATATTTAAAAAAAAATTAATATTTTATTATTTATTATATTATTTATCTCATAATTATTCATTTTATTTATTATTTCATCATCACACTAATTTAAATTATTATTATTATTATTATCATTATTATTTTCATATGATTCAAACTTATTGACTTAAAAACTCGTGCACAAACACAATTAATTCATACTAAAATCCAAGCCGAGCGTGCTGGACTCACTCGTTTACGCCCTGCTCTCAAGAAATGAATGCCGTCTTCCTCGAACATGATCGACTTTGGGTCTGGTTCATCTATCCTAACCCACTGATCCGAGAAAGTTCCTAACCCATTCACAGACCGTCGGAACCAGACCGTCTTTTACGTTCCGCCATCCCCGGCGAAGTTAACCGACCTTAGTTCTCCGCTGCTAACCCTTTAGATAGGAGCCGAGACGGATTTTGGGAAGGGGGAAGGGGGAAGGGG